GTCATTTTATATTTTGATATTTTATGATGTATTTAAATGAGTAGTTATGGTTGCAAACTCCATTAGAAATTTGAATTGAGATTATTTTTGGAATAAGGTAAAAGGGGAGTTGAAAAAATTTGGGGGGGGGGGGGGGAATAAGAATTAGTGGGGGGGGGGGCTATAATTTTTCTCATTTCAGATTTCAAAAATTAAAAAGAAAATTTCTTCAAATATTTTTTTTTGTGGGGGGAGGGGGGGGGGGGGGGGGGGGGGGGGGGTTAATATTCAACAGCATAGCATAGTGTTTTGCACAAAAGAAAAAAAAACGGGTAAACTTTTTTTGGGGGGAGGGGGAGGGGGGGTGGGGCAATTCACAACAGCATAGTGTATTGCACAAAAGCAAAAAATTGAATATAAATTCAAATCATATAACCAATTTTAAGTTCTTTGACTAGACTTATTCTGTGTCAGAAACCTATCATGTGTCAAATATTTAATTACAATCCAAATTCAGATCTGTATCAAGCGCGAATAATGTGTCCATTTGGCTGCAACTTTTCAGGGTTGGACATCTGCGCTCGTATCCAGCTGCGCTCAGCAAAGCAATTTATCTTAAACTATAAGCAATAGGTCAACTATATTTGGTGTATTGAATGATTGTAAGGTGTATATATCTGTCTGGCAGGTATCATTTGACGATGACCTCCTTTTTAGCTCATATGAGCTTATGCCATCACTTGGCTTCCGTCATCGTCATCTGTCGTCGTAAACTATTTCATGAATCTTCTCCTGTGAAACTTCTGGGCCAAATACCTTCAAACTTAAACTGAATGTTCCGTAGGGTATCTAGTTTATAATTGTTTCCAGACAAATCGAACAACCAATTGTTGGGTTGCTGCAACTAAATTGGTAATTTTAAGGAAATTTTGCAGTTTTTATACGACCGCAAAAAATTTTTTGTGGTCGTATATTGGTATGACGTTGGCGTCGTCGTCCGGCGATGTCGTCCGAATACACATTAGTTTTCGCACTCTAACTTTAGTTTAAGTGAATGGATCTCAATGAAATTTTACCATAAGGTTCAATACCACAAAAGGAAGGTGGGGATTGATTTTGGGGGTTATGGTACTAACAGTTAAGGAATTAGGGGCCAAAAGGGGCCAAAAATAAGCATTTTTGTAACTTCCAGACATAACTTGTGTGTAAGTGTATGGATCTCTCTGACATTGTACCACAAGGTTCCATATCACAAAGGGAATGCTGGGATTGATTTTGGGGGTAATTGCCTCAAAATTTAGGAATTAGGGGCCAAAAAGGGGCAAAAAACAAGCATTTTTCTAGTTTCATGACAATATCTTAATTGTAAGTGTATGGATCTTTATGAAATTGTACTACAAGGTTCCATATCACAAAGGGAATACTGGGATTGATTTTTGAGGTAATTTCCTCCAAATTTTAGGAATTAGGGGCCAAAAAGGGGCAAAAAACAAGCATTTTTCTAGTTTCATGACAATAACTTGTTTGTAAGTGTATGGATCTTTATGAAATTGTACTACAAGGTTCCATATCACAAAGGGAAGGCTGGGATTGATTTTGGGGGTTTTCCCTCAAAATTTTAGTAATTAGGGGCCATAAAAGGGCAAAAAAAACATGCATTTTTCTAGTTTCAGGACAATAACTTGTGTGTAAGTGTATGGATCTTTATGAAATTGTACTGCAAGGTTCCATATCACAAAGGGAAAGCTGGAATTGAGTTTGGGGGTAATTGCCCTAAACGTTTAGGAATTTGGGGCCAAAAAACAAGCCTTTTTCTAGTTTCCAGACAATAACTTGTGTTCAAGTGTATGAATCTCTCTGAAATTGTACTGCAAGGTACCATACCACAAAGGGAAAGCTGGGATTGAGTTTGGGGGTGATGAATCATAAGGGGGTTCAAAAAATTGGGGGGGGGGGGGGGGGGATTTTTTTTTCCTTTTTTTTCTTTAACATTTTCCATTTTAAATTGGTTATTTCTGATTTATATATAAAAGCAAATAATAATGATATGGTTTGAATAGGCATACATGTGAACCTCCCGACGGGAGTACAATAATCCTGTTTTCAGGGGTCTCCTCCCGACCTCCCGTTGAAGAGGAAAAAATCCTGTGTATGAAATTTTTCATGAATGAAAAATTTCTGCCAACATATCATCTCAGGCATCTGGTGTAACTGACATTACCTGAAGTTATATTTTACCTGTAAATCAATTAACATGCATAATTATATGGCTTCACTTGTCAGCTTGGGTGTCAAACATACAGGTAATCAACGATTTTTACCTCAGGCTAACTGCCGTTGTGTAACAAAAACTGTGTATTTATTGGGTTACTTCCCTTGATTTATCCTGTTTTAAGTTACTTTCCTTTTAATAATGAAAATTTTTAAAAGAATATAAATAAAATATAAATTGAACAAATAATCATAAAAGGATGGTATTAAATGATTTTAAATGTCTTAGGACAAATAAGAAAATAATAATTTGAAAATTATTTGAGGATTCTATACTTCCTTTCAAGGCTTAAATTGAAATTTATATAATAACTATGACCATGATTTTCTGAGCTTGCAAATAAAAACTATTTGCAAGAGAGAAAAAAAAAATAAAAACTATTTGCAGATAGCTAAACAAATGTTCTGGTTGCAATGATTGTTTTATAGAATATGAAGTAAAAAATTTAAAGAACATACTGGAAAAAAACAATGTTAGATTGAACATGTAGAATATAAAGATGGAGAAACTTTATAAGTACAAGGGTACTATAAACATAATAAATTGGATGGAAAGTTGAAGAAAACACACTTTAAAAGACCATTTTTACAGCACACGGTTACATTTACAACAAAATTAATGTTAAAAACCTCCTGATCTGAGTCCTAATCTCCTGACCAAAATTTCCCAATCTCCTGATCTGAGTTTCACAGTCCATCACATGTATGAATAGGTAAATTGAAAATTTTTAAGTTCTTAGACCACTTTCATTCTGTGTCAGAAACCTATGTTGTGTCAAATATTTAATTACAATCCAAATTCAGTGCTGTATCAAGCTTGAATGTTGTGTCCATACTTGCCCCAACTGTTCAGGGTTCGACCTCTGCGGTCGTATCAAGCTGCGCCCCAGCGGAGCATTTTATTGGATATTATCTTTTAATATTATTGATGATAGAGATAAACTGTAAACAGCAATAATGTTCAACAAAGTAAGATCTACAAATAAGTTCTATATGACCAAAATTGTCAATTGACTCCTTAAGGAGTTATTGCCCTTTAAAGACAATTTTTCATAATTTGTTCCTCTAGTTTGCTTACTTAAAAAAAATCTTCTCTTTTGAAACTGCTGAATCAATTCAGCCAAACTTGGGCTGAATAGGTTTAGAGTATCTAGTTTAAATTTCTACATTTTATTTCCTTGTTCGTCAAGAAACATAGCCATTATGGCTAAAATTGAACAAAGGGATAAAATGCTTTTTTTTTTTGCATTTGAAGAAAATATGACAGATACAAAGAACATTTAAATGGCATTTTTTAGCCACTTATTAATATATATTGAAAAGCAAAAATAATCATTGATGAAAGATTTAATCAAAAATTTACAGGTGGGCGATTCAGGCTCTTGAGAGCCTCTTGTTATGGTTCATTGGTCAATGTTAAGTTTTCATTGTTAAGTTTTTTTCTAGGATATTTCAAGCAATAGGTCAACTATATTTGGTGTATGGAATGATTGTAAGGTATATGTCTGTCTTGCAGGTATCATCTGACTGTGACCTCATTTTCATGGTTCATTGGTCAATATTAAGTTTTCAAGCTTAAGTTTGTTTCTTAGAAACTATAAGCAATATGTCAACTGTATGTAATACATAGATTGCCTGTAAGGTGTACTTGGATGGTTCATCTGACCTTGACTTCATTTTCATCGTTCACTGGTCAATGCTACGTTTTCCTCGTTAAGTTTATTTCTTAGAAACTATAAGCAATAGGTCAATTATATTTCGTGTATGGAATGATTGTGAGGTGTACATGTACATGATGTATTTCTTGTTTGGTTTATCTGACCTTGACCTCATTTTCTTTTATTATCGTAATTTTATGTGATACTTGTAGTAAAGCTTTATATTTAGGAGTATCAACATTAAATCAATTTTCAGTAAATGAGGCAAGACATTTCAGTGTGTGCACTCTTGTTTTTCTAGGAGTTATGCCTGTGTGAACTTAGAATGTTGGCCTAAATATACTACTGTAAGAGTTTATCATCGCAACTCCTCTGAAACCACACACCAGAATTTCATGAAACTTTGTAGATAGTTAGGACATACTATGTATATGTGCATATGCACAGGAAATTTTTATCAGTTGATTTTTGTAGGAGTTATGAGTTTTAGGAATCTGGTGAGATTTTGTTTGCCCAGTGACAATTTTGGGGCGTGGGGTATGTGAGCGTGCTCACAAAGGTTCTTTAATTCGAGACAATTGTGCACAGACTCTGGCATCATAGCGAGTTGATTCTTCAAGTATATTTCCATAGCTTCTTCCTGTATATTTCTATGTGGGTATTAAAGCGACAACTGAAGCACATTTCGTACTACAAATGTACAAACGATCAATGCTTTTACAACACTGTAAAATGACAAAAGAAGGATTCAATTTTGTTAATGAGATGTTTATGCTACAATCATGATATAGCAGTTCATATCAAGCTTTTCATTAGTTTTCCTATGCATTGTTCTGATGTTCTCAAAGGAAGCACATGCAGTCATGAAAAAATGAATTTTATTGGTAAATAAATAAAATATAATTTTGGAATGTCTCATGACTGTTGTCTGTCAATCAAAACTATAATAACATACATGTAATGCAATTGAATATTAAATATTAACATACAGTGAAAACAGGCACACAAAATAGTTATATTTTTATACTTAATTAAAGAGAGTAAAGTTATGATCTTCTACTTTATAGAAAAACTCTTTATGAAAAAATATAGTTGCAGGTGATATGGTTCCAACTGAAATAAAATTAATGGCTGACAAAAGATCTATTGATTTGTACCTCAAATTACTTGAGTCAGGATCTGAGAAAAAGAGAGACATACGTTTAGTAATAGTTGGGAAGAAAGGTGCAGGAAAAACCTCATTGATTAAAAGATTGTTCTCTGAAGAGAATACAGATGTAACTAGTACAAATGGAATAGAAATCCACACAATAAAATGCAAAGCAATGTCTGATGATGGCATATGGAATAAATTAGATGGTATGATGTATAAGCTTAAACACAAATGTTTCTCTATTATTAAGAAAGTATTTATAATGTTTTTGATTTCTAGTTAACATGACTTATTATTCAGCAATACTTTTGGGTTGTTTGAGGACTATCTTTTAGTTTTCAAAGCATAGGTATTACAGGTTGCACTTTGTAAATACAGCCATGACAGCTGGTTCACAAGCCACGCCTCTTTTGGGGAGATATATAATATTCATAGCTATTTTGTTTTGTTTACGTACTGGTTCCAAGATATAATCTCTATGTTTCATCTCATAGAGAAATAACTTGGGAATGTTACAAAAATGTATAAAAACACATGGTAGCGGTGAAAAATGAATTCTGAAGAAGACCCAAAGTAAAGGTAGGGGTAGTTCAGAATTTTAGTATAAGTTTAAACTCTTAGAAGTTTGTGGCATATAAATGTTGAAAATATACTGCACAGCCCCATGTTTTGACCTTTGACAGGGGGTATTCAATTCCCACTTCCCTCCCCCCTGACTCCCGCTTCCCTCCCCTAGACTTCCGCTTCCCTCCTTTAACTTATCATTTCGTTCAGATATGCCTCCTTTCTCCCTTCACACAAGAAAATCTAGAACTGTGAACATACCTCCGTTTCTCCAACCAGTCCTTGCTGGTGAAGGGGTTGATCTCAATGATCCTCAATGGACATGAACATCATCACATGCGCACGAGTATCTAGCATACCATACCAGAGGATTGACAATGACAAGATGCACCAATAAAAAATAAAGATAACTTTAAAATCTAAATGTAATAATCTACGTAAATATATACTGTACTGAAAAATTTATATATAAATACATAGATTGATTTCCATATTCCTGAATGTAGAACTGATCATGAAAACTTTAAAAAGAAATAACAATTGCATTCCAGACAATTATTTTTAAGAAGATATTGAACTTTGTATTTCGATTTGAAACAAATTTCTTCACAAGTTAAGATATAATAAGCTACTGTCCTGGCAGATTTGTTTTTACTTTAAAAGTGAAAAGTATTCAATTTCTTGATTTTTTTTATGATTGTGTCTGTAATTTTATAATAATATTAAATAGTATATACCAGAAAATTGTATTAAAGAAACTATTTCATTTATAGTTAAAAATTGCTTTATTTTTTTACGCCATTTATGCAGAAATTTAATGTAATAGGCTACTGTCCTAGCAGATTTTTTTTTTTGTGTTAACAAAATGAAAGTCCATAATATTTTATATTTTCATAAAGCTTATATTTTAAACTTTCCAATGAACAAAAGTTTGCTTACCAGACATTCATTTTGAAGAAGATATACAACGTTATATTTTGAATTTGAGCCAATTTCAACAAAACTTCTAATGTAATAGGCTACTGTCCTGGCAGATTTTTTTACCTTAAAAGACAAAAAAAATATTAAATTATAAATTTTTGAAATGATTATTCCCTAAACATTATAAAAGTACAAAAATTTTATGCCAGACAGTTGTTTTGGAGAAATTATTTTAATTGTAAGTAAACTTTTCTCAGCATTTTCCGCCATATTTTTCTTAAAATTTAACTGTCTTGCATTTTTTTTTTACTTATAATCATACAGTTTATATTTTAATAACATGTTGAGTAAAACGAAAGTTACAGATACAAACGTATCAAAAATAACTGTCCTGGTTTTTAGACCTTCCCGTTGGATACAGACACAGATACAATACTGTACAGACAATACGGAAAGTCTGGAAACGATCTTTTCGCATGCAATCTTCTGCAAATAATCTCCAAACCCAATAAGATGGTCTTAAAGAATAACAACACCTTTTATCGTGTAAGATTTTTGTTTAATACAGCACTGAATTGGTTTCCCTGTTTCCTCGATTTCTTCATGTTCCCGCCCCGCTCGCTCCCGGTTCATGCCCCCTTACTCCCGGTTCCCGCCCCCCTTACCTCCTGTCCATCCCCTCTTATAACACTATTTCATGTCTTATTTATATTCATCTATTTAAATTGTCTTTTTTTATATGCCTATTTTTAGAGCTGATGTTGACGGATAATAGATGTTTTCCAGTCGTAAAAATGTTGATACTTTATGAACATTGTGTGCGTTTTCTGTTGTTTTCAGTGAAATCATTGTACTTCTGATATACTCTTAAATATGGTATAAATCAAAGTTCCAAATCAATCCAGTTTATGTGGATTTGGTAGCTAATGCTGTTTTAACATGTAGAGACATTGATATAAAATGTGTTATGATTGCCCATAAGACAGCTTTCCAACAAAGACCAAAGGATGAGGGTGTAAACAATTACAACTCACTGTTTGCCTTCAAAATTATATGTTAACCACATCATCTCATGATGATTTAAGTTTTATTTTCTAAGGTTATATAATGATTCTTAATGCATGCTTTTTTTTTAATTTATTTTGATGAATATCTTTACTTTATTTAGCAACATATTAATAATAAGGTATGTGTAGAATATGCATCAAGTTTTGTGGTTTTTGTCAAATCTGTTATATCAATATTACAACCAACTGAAGAAACTCTCTTTTCAATTGTGATAACTGTTCATGAGTATTTTTGTAGAACTAGCTAAGGGTTGGAAAAAAATTGATGGACAACATTTATTTTGTAACTGTTTATTGCATATTTTATCATAGGATCTTACTTAGTATTTCTTTAATATTATTATAATTTTCTAATGATAGGAACCAATAAAGAAACTGAAATTCATGCAAGACTCTTGAAACAATACAAAGGAAAAATTGAAGCATCAGTACAAGAAGTAACACATGAAGTTGTTAGGGAAAACACCCTCATAACCATTCTGTACAAGCGTATTGAGGAATCAAAAGAATCAGAGACAGTAAGCCAGCAGCCTAAAAAAAGAATACTTCAAGTAACCACTGAATCTCAAGTTGAACCTCCAGTAACCTCGCAGCAACGAAACCAATCATTAAAACAGGCAAAATTGGATATTGAAACCATGCTTAAATCTAATGTTGATTTACATGACAAAGAGGAGTATGCCACATTATTGCTATGGGATTTTGCAGGAGATGAAGAATTTTACCACACACATCAAACCTTTTTGTCCTCAGGTGCAATTTATCTTGTTGTAACAAAACTCAATGAAGCTGACGACAAAAATGCACAAGGTAACATTTCATAGAGTTAAGATAAGTGAGATTTAAAATATTTTATATTTTATTTAACTTTTTCTTAGCTTAAAATGCAAATTGTTGTCAAGAACTATAGATTCCAATTTATGCTCCAAGTAAAGAACAGAGCTCCAGATAAGAATTCACAAATTGGGGTTTTTACCCACCATTTTTTTATGTAATTGGGTGATAAAGTTTTTTAATTGCATTATCAATTCCAATTCACCCCTCAAGCAAATATCAAATTGGGTTTTTCACCACCAAGCCCCTTAATGTATTGGGTTTTTTCATCAACACAATATTGAATATTTAGACATTTTATAATCGCATTTTATCAAACCGAGATGTTCATCCATCTTAAATATGTTTCTTTCTTTGTATATGCGATAGCTGTTTTATTTGGTTTATACACTGACGAGCAATTGTAGGTTAAATTTGTGTCCGGTTTTAACCGTTCTGCCAGTTTTGTATTTTCTCACAACTTATATAAACTGCAGCTGGTGTCACTAGTTGGGCAGTAACTAATTACCTTTCTAGATCACATATGATCACCCTACAGTTTAGTTGGAGTAGGTATAGCTACGTGTTTAGATTTTTTTGTAATATTATATGTGAACATAAGGTGCTGTAAGATAGTGTTGCCACTCCTACCACCTAATTGCCAGAACTACTTAAAAAAAAGTAGTTCCCAGATTGAAGACATACCCCCAAAAACCTTGACCAGGTTCATGATAGGGTGGTTTAATGATTCATTTTAAATTTACAAATAATCCGGCAACATCAATTAATTAAATGACAATATTTCACTGCACTTGCCAATTAGACAACTATCTTAAGCATACAATTAGACCAAAACCAAAGAAAGGACCAAGCTACATTGACGTAAAAACGGATATGTGTGTTCACTCATCAACTAAAATAATAGACCGAATTATCTGTCGTTCAAAAGCTTTTTTTTATGGTGCTTTTGTCATAAAAGCACCATAAAAAAAAAAGCTTTTGAACGACAGATAATTCAGTCCACTAAAATGACAAAATAATATATATTCAATTATACTTGAATGTTTTTGTTTATTTTAATTTAAATAAATCTGGGTTAAGTTTTTCCTTATAATTGTTATTAGAACTTTTGGTTCCGATGCTTTCCAGCTACATATGATGTCATAATTAATTTGGCCTTACATTGTTCCAACTGAGCATGCTGAGTTTATTGACGAAACCCCGTGTTTGTTCTAACAATGTTCTCGTAAAGGCACGCAAACACGCCCGTGCGTTCGATGAACTCTTCATAAAAACACTAGCTGAGTCTTGTTATCATCATAGTAATCCCTCAGCTATCAAAAAGAAGCTGAAACCATTCAATACTTTTACCGGACATTTACTTTCGTTTTAATTCATTGTGTGTTATGATAAAACCCGAGCAATTCGAAAAGATTATAACAACTTGACAAACCCTAATTGGATAAACGCAGAGAAGATCGAAATGTTTTCATCAACACGTGCGAAAGGACATTTCCAATTATAAATATTATAAAAATAGATTTACGCACGACTATGTAAAAGATAAGGGTAAATAACGCAAAGGATAGCGAATAAAAGCGTAAAGAACTCATGGTTTGGCATATAATAGGGTTTTCTTTTGAATGTATTGGGTTTTAGAACGCTGCAATGGTCAATTGCATTGGGTTTTTAATTATTTTTATTGCGTGATCACTCAAATACGCAGCTTATCTGGAGCTCTGAAAGAAGAAAATATGGGAGGCAATCAGTCAATTGGTCCGAGGACACAGTTATCGTCCTTAGATTTTCGTTGTCTACAATTATAGTCCCTAGTGTGGACAGTGTATAACTTGCAAATTTTGTTCATACACTTTCCAAATTTATTTCTTCATATTTTATGCATGAAATATTAAGTTAAGGGATGAAATTACATAAAATTATTAAAAAAATTTGGGTGCTGAATCTTTATGTTAAGTAGTGATTTGGTCCAGTTCAAAAAGGTCAAAAACTAGTATGTCTGAAGCTGTCGAACTGAATTTTAGACCCCCTTAACATAGAATTGTCAATATTTTGAGTTAGAGCTGGTAGACTTTTCTATAATTTTGATATTATTTGTCCCAATAGTAGTACACTACACTGTAAAAATCTTTTTGAGATAGAGCAGGTGCGATTTTTTGGAAAGTTTGCTATAGCTTGCTATAGCAATAAACTTTCCTATGGCATCGGCCTCAAACTCGACTATCTAAATATAGGATGTGTGTTCTACCCCTAGATAATGTAGTACTAGTGTTTGAATACAAATTAAATAAAGACGCTTTTGAAATTTTTTTGAGCTACTTCTATTTTGATAAACTTACAGCTTAAAGAAAATTAATTAAAAATTGGACTGAAGGTTCACCGACAATTCAAGTGGATCCAACTTTATTTTTAAAATGGGTATCACAAAAACTACTTCGCGGATCTGCCCTGCACGGAAGATAAAATCAATACACATCAACACGAGGCAGCAGTTTCTACGTTTAATTAATTGAAAATTATGAGGGCCTGATATTTATTTCGAGGTGTGTGTTGGTTTTTTTTTTTTTACATTTATTCATGAAATTAAAGAATTCTTATTGTTAAGAATGTCGTAATCTTTTCAATTTTTACATTTGCGAATGGTATTAGGTGTGACCTCTATAAATTATGCATACTTTGAACTGTCACTGTTTATGTTATCTGTATGTTTTCCTACGGGAATCCCTAGACATGCGTTTAATCCATATATGTGAACCTCCTGACGGGAGTACAATAATCCCGGTGTCACCGGTCTCCCGCGTCCTCCGATCGAAGAGAAAATAAATACCGTGTTTAAAAAATTCTCATGAATGAACATTTTCTGGCATCATTTTTACGATATTTACAAATGTTTATTAAAGACGTAAAAGCCCGAGTGTATTGAAAGTATCCTCATATCTCGGCCCATAACAACTCGGCCTATAACATACAATTGGCCTCACAAAATTGGACTATAATTTTTTTATACGACCGCAAAAAAATTTTGTGGTCGTATATTGGTATGACATTGTCGTCGTCGTCGTCGTCCGAAGACACATTGGTTTTCGCACTCTAACTTTAGTTTAAGTGAATGGATCTCTATGAAATTTTACCATAAGGTTCAATACCACAAAAGGAAGGTGGGGATTGATTTTGTTTGATGGGGTTATGGTTCCAACAGTTTAGGAATTAGGGGCCAAAAATAAGCATTTTTGTAACTTCCAGACTTAGTGTATGGATCTCTCTGACATTGTACAACAAGGTTCCATATCAGAAAGGGAATGCTGGGATTGGTTTTGGGGGTAATTGCCTCCAAATTTTAGGAATTAGGGGCAAAAAAGGGGCAAATAAAAAGCATTTTTCTAGTTTCATGACAATAACTTGTGTGTAAGTGTATGGATCTTTCTGAAATTGTACTACAAGGTTCCATATCACAAAGGGAAAGCTGGAATTGAGTTTGGGGGTAATTGCCAAAAACGTTAAGGAATAAGGGGCCAAAAAGGGGCCAAAAACAAGCATTTTTCTAGTTTCCAGACAATAACTTGTGTTCAAGTGTATGGATCTATCTGAAATTGTACTGCAAGGTACCATACCACAAAGGGAAGGCTGGGATTGAGTTTGGGGGTGATGAATCATAAGGGGGTTCAAAACATTGGGAGGGGGGTTTCATTAAAATTTTTCATTTTAAATTGGTTATTTCTGATTTATATGTAAAATCAAATAATAATGATATGGTTTGAATATGTAAATTAAAAAAATTTAAGTTCTTAGACCATATTCATTCTGTGTCAGAAACCTATGCTGTGTAAAATATTTAATCACAATCCAAATTCAGTGCTGTATCAAGCTTCAATGTTATGTCCATACTTGCCCCACCTGTTCAGGGTTCAACCTCTGCGGTCGTATCAAGCTGCGCCCAGCGGAGAACATTTTTTGCAAGATTTATTAAATTTTCAAATGACTATAACTCGAAAACAGTAAGTGATAGACACACATGGTCTTCAGAAATGATCACAGGACAATAAAACAAATCAAATAAAATATAGGATGAGTCCCTATGGGTCACCCCCACCCACTTCAATTTGAGAATGTGCTTTTATCTTGTAAACAGTCGAGATCCCCACCCTTAAACCATATATATTCTTGTATGAGACAATAAAATAAATCAAATGAAATATTGGGGGAGTCCCTGGGGTCACCCCACCCCCTTCTGTTTGAGAACTTGTAAACAGTCGAGATCCCCACCCCTAAACCATAAATATTCTTGTATGGAACAATAAAACAAATCAAATGAAATATAAGGGAAGTCCAAGGGGGGTCAACCCACCCACTTATTTATGCAACGTGTAAACGGTCGAGGTTCCCACCCCTAAACCATAAATATTCTTGTATGGGACAATTAAACAAATCAAATGAAATATAGGGGAAGTCCACAGGGGTCACCCCACCCCCTTATATATACAACGTGTAAACGGTCGAGGTTCCCCCCCCCCTAAACTATAAATATTCTTGTATGGGACAATTAAACAAATCAAACGAAATATAGGGGAAGTCCACGGGGGTCAACCCACCCCCTTATATATACAACGTGTAAACGGTCGAGGTTCCCAATCCTAAACCATATATATTCATGTATGGGACAATAAAAAAAATTAAATGAAATATAGGGCGAGTCCCTGGGGGTCATCCCACCCCCTCCTGTTTGAGAACATTTGTAAATGGTTGAGATCCCCACCCCTAAACCATAAATATTCTTGTATGGGATGATAAAACAAATCAAATTAAATATAGGGGAAGTCAATGGGGGTAACCCCCACCCCCTCCTTTTTGAGAACTTGTAAACGGTCGAGATCCCCACTCCTAAACCATATATATTCTTGTATGAGACAATAAAACAAATCAAATGAAATAAAGGGCGAGTCCCCTGGGGGTCACCTCCCCCTTTTGAGAAATTTTAAACG